TTTTTTCTTCAGTTCTTTCAGTTTGAGACATGCTGAATGTGTTCTTCCTTTTTGGTTTTCAGACTCCAGGTCTTTGCACATTTCATTATAGTTAATTGGCTTTGTCTACTTGAGCTGCTCTTTGAAATTTTCTGTTCAGCTCTTTGACCTTTTCATTTCTTCCATTTGCTTTAGCTAGTATTCATAACGATACTGCCTCTGAAACCCAAGGAAACCCTTGGATCTGGCTCGACGGCACTGAGTTTTAGATGCATTAATCCATGTTTTTCTCTTTAAAAAAAAAAATATGTGGATCAAGGTAATTAATTTACATATACTAAGTCAAACAACTTTCAAGGCTGATAATGAAAAGCAGCAGTATATTGGACTCCTCATCCCCTCTCTGAAAGGAACCATTGTAAAACTGTTACCTGTAATTTTAGGAATTCATATATTTGCGTCTAGATAATTTCTGTACAACTCTTTCTTGATTTTCCAATTTTATTGACTATCTATTGACATCCTACTGTGGAAAATGAGGATTCCATTCTTCCAGATACTTTGCTTTCTACCAGTCTCACAAAAGTAGGTACATGATGATTTTTTAGTTGAATCACTATTTAGATTTAAAACTGTGTAAACACTGTTGATATTTAAGATATCTAGAGCTCTGGTGGTATAGTGGTTAAAGCATTTGGCTGCTAACCAAAAAGTCAGTGGGTTTAACCCAGCTGCTTACAGGAGAAAAATGAAACAGTATGCTTCCCTAAAAATTTACAGCCTTGGAAACCATATGAAGCTGTTCTACTCTGCTCTATAGAGTTGCTACGAATTAATTACTGTTATTCCAACCATGAAAGCAATTGACTTATTGTATTGGAATTTTTTTTTTCTTTTAGTGTAACATGACTATAATTTTATAACTATTTAAAGGAGTTGATATTTGCCTTTATTTTTCTTATTTTTCTATTCTAAACCTCCTTTCCCAGAATAATTATTTGATGTGTCCAATTCTCTCAGTTCTTAATAATTGTCCACTGTGTTTTTGTCCATCTACTATTATATGTGTTGTTGTATGGGTCGATTCTGACTCACAGCAACCCTATAGGGCAAATTAGAACAGTTCTGTATGGTTTCCAAGGCTGTAAATCTTTATAAAAACAGACTTCTGGTTTTTTGTTTTTTGTTTTTTTTTTCCTGAGAAGGGCTGGTGGATTCTCACTGCCAACCTTTTGAGTAGCAGCCAAGCTCTTAACCACTGTGCCACCAGGGCTCCCTGGTCTATCTACTAGTCAACTAAAATATCTTCTATTTTATTGGCTTAATCATCATATTAAGTGTCCTGGAAGGGTCCCTGATCTATACAGAGAAAAAAAAACTTGATAAAGGCAATATTGTATGGATCATCAATTTTTCAACAAAAATATTGTTGTTGTTATTGTTTAGTGTCATCCATTTGGCTCTGACTCACAGCAACCCTATGTACAACAGAACAAAACACTGCCTGAGCCTGCAACAACTCCAGAGTCTTTGCTATGCCTCGGCTCATTGTCACAGCCATTGTGTCAATCCAACTCATTGAGGGTCTTCCTCTTTTTTGCTGTCTCACTACTTCACCAACCATGATATTCTTCTCCAGGGATGGGTGTTTTTGACATGATCAAAGTAAGTGAGACTAAGTCTAGCAATTCTTGCTCTTAAAGACTGTGACAATAGTACTTCCTCCAAGACAGATTAATTCATTCTTCTGGCA